TTGGTGCCCCAAGAATGGGGGCGGGTTGAGCCGAGCAGAAGGCCCTAGTGACTCACAAGCTTCCAGGGAAGAAATCCACATATGGCAACCACTGAGGTCACATTTTCCTCGCATTGCTTGTGCACTGCATTCTCGACATAGGTGCAGGGATGCTGTGTTGCTAAGCACCGGGCAAGGAATGGGTTGCAAATTTCTGGGTTCTGTTTGACACATGCCCAAGCGGCACCAGACAGGCACACAGAGTTCTGTGGTTACGTGTGGCAGATGGTGAGGAGAGCCATGACAGCGCTCAGTGTGGTCGCATCTGTGGAAACTTAGCACTGCTCACTGGTCAGGTGATCGATGAAATAAAGGCACATCCTATTATTATTCATGGTGGGTGATCATCATCCACTCTGAAGCACAGGAGATGTGGTCCAGCTGAGACTGTGGCTGGCGTCTAACAGCAGAAAGGAGCAGGTCTGAGTGGGCACCGTGGATGGCCAACTCAGGCTTGGCTGTAGGAGCAAAGTGTGATTCCGGGGTGTGGAAATCGGAGCTGCTGAGATTAGCCTCAGAGAACTCACTGATGTCTCATCTGTTTTCCACAGTTCCTTCTTTACCCGGCACCATGTGCACATCTTATGTGCTACCGTTTAATTCATTTGACCTCTCCTATCCCAAAAGTAGATGTGTGTGGTCAGATGCAAAGTCAGAGTTCTAAAATGCACTTCACTGACTGTACCAGGGATGAATTTAGAAGCTTAAAGCTAGAAACATTGTTTATCTCCCAACTGCTGGGGTTTGAGAAGCCAGGGGCAGATGAACGAACTGGGCCACTCTCTCACAAGGCTGCAGTCACGGCTCAGCCTGGGCTGGGGTCATCTCAAGGCTCTCCTGGGGGATGAGCTGCTCCCACGCTCACTCAGATGGCTGAAGCAGGATTCTGGTCTTCCTGAGGTGTTGGACTGATGGCCTCCCTCAGATCCCTGGACGTGGACCTCTCGTAGGGCAGCCCCCAACATGGCAGCTGGCTTTCGTCTGAGCAAACAAGGGAAAGAAAAAGATGGCAAGGAAGAAGCAGCCAGGGTCTTTTTGTAACCTAACAGCAAAAGTGACATCCTGCTACCTTTGCCATATTATTCGTTAGAAGTGAGTCACTAGGTCCCATCTACCCTGAAGGAGAGGGGATTATAGTAGGACATACACACCAGGAGGAGCGGTCACTGGGAGCCATCTTAGAAGCTTCCCGCCATGACATCTATGCTTTTTGACCATAATCGATGATAATACTCTTTCAAATAGAAGGGCTTTAAAATTGCTTGGTTCACCACATCCCCGTCAGAAACCTTATGCGTGCTGCCCAACCAGAGTAGATTAAGACAATGATGACATTGGTATAAGCCACTCTTGGCGAACAACCTTGTTATACTACTACAGAACACTTTTTTAGAGTTCCACTCTTTTTTAACCTAGAGTTCAGCCTATAGGAGTCTAAGAAATGCGCTTGGTTACCACCAGAATCATCAAATGACACAGTTAATTTTCTTTTGTTCTTACCTAGCCCAACTCCTTCATTTCAGGTGTGGAAACAGACTGAGAGGGGAAATAACCTGCTGGTGGACTCACAGCTCAGGACTGGGGTCGGATCCATGCTAGGTTTTGGTGAACTTACTGTTGGGTTTTGGGCAGGGCCAATTGCACTGCCACCTCTGGGAGAACCGAGGCATGGATGGGGATTAAGAAAACTAGGATAGAAAATAAGGTGAGGGGAGAAAAAAAGTGGAAGAGGAATAAAGGGGAGGGAGAATTCCGAGAAAAGAGAAACAGGACAGCAAAAGAGGGGGAAGGAGAAAGGCTCAAAGCTTATTCACCGCAGGTACCACTGGGGGGCTCCATGACATGCCCATGTAGCTGCTCTAACGTACAAACGTTCTGATGCATCCATCGAAACAAATTTTAGCGTAACTTTCATTGAAAGGAAGCAGAGTGCAGTCGTTTAGACTCTGGACTCTGGAGCTAGAATGCCCACCCTCGAATCCCAGCTCTGCCACTAGCTGTGTGACCTCTGCAATTTACTTTTAACCTCTCTTTCTAAAACGGGGATAATAGTACACACTGCATGCGATGGCCGTGGAATTGGTTAAGTTAATAAATGTACAGTGCTTAAGTAGTGCAGGGCACAAGGAGACTTCTGTTATCAGCAAGTGGTGGGGAAGACAGTCTACGTTATTCTCAGCCCTCACCTGGGTTTGAGGATGGAGTGAAGCTTGGGGTGCAGGACAGGGTGAGGCTTAGGAATGGAATAAAGGGTGGCAGTTAAGGTAAGGAGGTGTGTTGTGCGTTATCTCTGTGGGTATCAGCCGAATCAGAATGCCTCCTGCATCACCAAGCAGATCAGGTGGAGAGTCCTGTTGCCCACTCAGGCATCCTTCTCATCCTTTTCCAGATCATTCCTCTTTCCCCTCTTGCTCCCTTCCTTTCAGCTCCTCATGTAACAGCTGTTAGGTTCTCCCTGCAGAGCTGCAATGCAGTTGAATAAACTGGAAGTTAAAACTATATAATCATTTTATATTGTTACAAGTATTTTGCAGTATCAAAATTACTTAATCTGTGGTGCTGTCACTGTGGTTCCCGTTTCCTCCAGAACTTTTTTCCTCTTCTGTCTTTGTTCTTTTTATTCAAGTATGTATTCACTTGACAGACATCTGATCACGCAATTGCTTTTCAAACTAGAATTTGCTGAGTACCTATTATGTCCTAGACACTGTGCAGTGCTTTAAACTGACCCTAACGATAACCCTGAGTATTAAGTACTGCTATTACACTTGTAGAGATAAGGAAAACTGTCCCTGGGGAAGTTGTCCCTTGCCCGAGATTCCTTCATGTCTGCATTCCTTGAGCACTGCCCCCCACACCCACCCCCATCCCCCCGATTACCGGCCAGAAGGACATGCAGGACAACCCAGGACTCTTAGCGGTTACTGAGGTAAGGAGGGTTTGGAGGGGTCTGAAGCCCTTTACACAGGTGGGAATGATGAGGTGGTGAGAATGGAGTTATGATTATCCGTGGCTCCATTTCTTTTGGTGGGAAATGAGGTCACACAAAAATAAGATGATCCTCATTAAGAAGTGAAATTTTGGGCTTCCCTGGTGGCGCAGTGGTTGAGAGTCCGCCTGCCGATGCAGGGAACACGGGTTCGTGCCCCGGTCCGGGAAGATCCCACATGCCGCGGAGTGGCTGGGCCCGTGAGCCACAGCCGCTAGGCCTGCGCGTCCGGAGCCTGTGCTCCGCAACGGGAGAGGCCACAACAGTGAGAGGCCCGCGTACCGCAAAAAACAAAAAAAAAAAAAGTGAAATTTTGTGGAGTCAGGCATGGAAACATCATTCAAATGTGGCAAGTACTCTTACAGTAAAAAACAGAGACTCGGTAAAGACTTCACAGAGGAGGTATCAGCTGAGCGAGGCCCCGAGGGACGAACACGAGTTTGCCAGATGAACAAAAGATGGAGGAATATTCTAGATGGGAGAAATCTCACATGCAGAGACAATAGAGTTATGAAAATTCTTTTCACTGGAGGACGGACAGGTAAGTTACCGGCAGATTGTGAGGGAATGTGCCAGAAGATCTGGAGTTCATTTTATAGGCAACAGAGAACCAGACCAGACTTTTAAGTAAGGGTATCATGATCACATTCTTCTTTTTTTTTTAATAAAAATAATTTAGAGGGGGATTTGGAAAATTAACTGAGAGGTGAGAGGTACCCAGGAGGTGGGCTGAGGACCCGGATCAGAAGAGTAATGGGACTGAGGAAACAACTTGTGCAAAGACCCAGTAGCCAGAGATCCCAATACTGTTTCAGGAACTGGTGGGAGGAGAGGATGATGGCGTCTGCGAGAGCCAGAAAAGAAGGCTGCTCCCCGGCATGCATGGAGCTGTGGGTTGAAGTGGCAAGTTCACACTGAAGTCAGAGCAGAGCAGAGGAGTCGTCAGCGCCTTGAAGGATGACCCTGTGCCTTTTTTATCCCTGAACCCCGCCTTAACACAGGGCCTGGAGCCTGGGGATGAGGAGAGGGGATGCGGGGCTCCACAAAAGTCTTCCTGAATTAAACTAGAGAAAGGAAAGAAACAAGGCTCCAGCAGAGGGGAGGGAGAGTTGGAGCCTGCAGTAAATGGTCAAATGATCAAGTCAGGTGATGCCTGATGATTGGGAAGAAGCCCTGGAAGGTCAGGCTGCAGACCAGAGTAGATGACTGAGGGTGAGTTATCAGGCTAACGATCTTGGACATCAGCTAGGATACAGCGCAGACCTCACTCCGGAGCCTGAAACTTGCGGCCCCAGTGTGTTTGCTAAAATACACATTTAGAAAATCTTAACTCTCTTTTTACATTTCAAATAATTCTCCATAACGCTCCCAAATCTGAAAATAATCAAATCTGAACTAATCCTGTTCTCTGGAACCAGAGATCCAACTCCCACCGCGCATAGACCGCTGAAGCTTCCCTTTCTGGGGGCTGCCTGGAAAGAAGAGTTGCCAAAAAATTAAAAGCAAAACAAAAAGACGTCAATTTCAACCATCCCAGCTGGTGAGTCTCGACGAAATTAAATGCTTTAAAAGAAGGTGTAGCGGTGGGAGACTACAGACATCACACAGAAACCAGCACCACGAGAGTGACATTTCAAAACCACCCATTTTCTGGAACATCTCTTGTAGCCAAATTCCAGACCCCAGCCACCCTCGTTCCCTGCACGCTCCCGCCCTCCGTACCTCACGCGCTGGCTGGATGACGTGGTTGGTGGTGGCGCGGCCGCTCAGGTGAGGGGCCACCCAGCCCCCGGAGGCGCGGGCGCTCGGAGCCCATTCGCCGCCGCCGCCGCCGCAGCAGCAGCAGGGGCGGCGCGGAGGGGAAGGGGCGGGGCGGGCGGAGGGAGAGCGGCGCGCGCGGGGAGGGCGCTGCGGCGGGGGCGCGCGCGGGCGCAGGGCCAGCCCTGCTTCGCTCGGGTCGACGGCTGACGCGCGCCGCAGTCGGAGCCTGAGCCGCGCGGGCGCAGGGGACGGCGCGGGGCTGCTGGTGGCCACAGCTGCGTCGGGGACGGACTACCGGTGCTTGGGGTCGCGGGCAGCTGCGCGTGGGCCGAGTGGTGGGCGCGGCGTAAGAACGTGAGTAGCTCCGCACGCGCGGCTGGCGGTGACACTCGGTCCAGCTCGGGGGCGACGGCTGGAGCGGAGGAGGGCGAGGGGGGCGGCTGTGTTGTCGCCGGGACACCGGAACACTCTGGCTTCGCAGCGCCCCTCCAGGTCTCCCTGCCGCAGGGGCAACCTGGCAGCCAACTCCCTTCCCCTCCGGCTCCGGGCGGGAGGAGGGGACCGCAGCCCTGTGCGGGCCAGGCTGAGATACAGCGGCGCCGGCGGGCCCCCTTCACCTCCCCAGCCCTTGGCCAACTTATGCATCCGTGCCCCCCGCTTTCCGGGAAGCCCTGCCTGGAGGTGGCTTTGGGGCCAACTGGGCCTGGAGAGGCTGCTGGGGCCCGGCACTGCGGCTTCCCGGGCAGGGAGGCGGAGGGCGCGGGCTGTCAAGCCGCAGGGCCGGCGGGGCGAGTAGCGCAGGTGCCTGGGCAGCGCGCTCCGGCGTGTGCATGTTCCGGTCCCCGAGGACGTATCTGGGCGTGGGCTTTGTTCGGATGCGCTCACACCTGCGCGGATCGCCGGAGTTCAGGGGCGGTCCGACCTCCACTCTCTCCGGCCTGGAGAGAACTCGGGGAACAAGGGATGGAGGACGGAAGAGACCCCGAAAGCAGTAGGTAGGGGGATTTCCGGGGTCTTTGTCGGCCCTACAGGTGCGGGTCCCCGGGGTCCCGGCGCCCCGCCCGGCCTCGCGGGACTGGGACTTGTTGGGACTGGCACGCCGCGGCTTGAGGCTGACTCAGAAGAGCCCCTTCCCTGCCCAGGCTCCCAACGGTGGGATCTGGCAACAGCTTCTCCCGGGGATGTTGTGTTGAGCCGCCCGTCACTGCCGGCTCAGGCGCATCCATCTCCCGGCGAGCGCCATCTGCGCCGCGCGCTGCCTCCGGCCCCGTGCACGCCGTGCGGGTGGGCGCCGCAGTGCGCGGGTCCGCGGCGGTTAGCCAGCCCAGCCATTCCCCGCCCGCATCTGCCCGTGCGCAGAGGGGGAACCGGGGTGCCGTGGTCTTGGGAGCCCGGGAGCGCTCTTTCTCCCAGAGCCGTGTACTCTGGGCAGCAAGCACCGCCGGAGGGTTCCCTGGGTCCGGAGGGGCTGGTGAGCAGGCCACTGTCCTCCCCTCCGGGTCGCCTCCCTCCCGCCCGGCTCCCGGCCCGCGGCAGCATCTTCTGTTCCCCGCACGCTAGGGGGCCGTCCCTGTGCAGCTGCCGGCGAGGAGGGGGGCCGCCGAGCGGAGGCGTGTCTTTACCACCCCGCCTCTCTCCTGTCGTTTTCGCATCAGCAGCTCCAGCCAGAGGCTACATCCGGCGCGGAGCACTCTGTCCTAGGAGCGAAGCGTTCTTTTCGTCCCCTTCCCGCTTGGTTAAGGCGCAGAGGTGCGAGTATCCGGGGCAGGGCCCTTCCCCGCCCGAGGCTTTAGCAAGCAGAGACGGAGGAGAGTGTAATGGGGCAGGAAGCAACTCTCCTGGGGCAGGAGCTCCCCCTGGGGCTATCCAGAAGGGAACAAGGTAGCCACTGAATACAAACGTACGTAAGGAGGCTAGGCTGCTTTGGCTGCCACTGCTTTATGCTAACCATGCCCTGTTATTAAAATATTGTAATAATACCTCAGAAGTAAATGAGACCTTCCAGAAGTACTGAAGTGGATTTAGGCAATTGGATACTTTCTACTTTAATGGTAATGATAGTCAACATTTTCTGAGCGCGTCAGAGGTGCTGGGCCGCTGTGCATGTTACATGTATCTATCATATCAGTTTCCATAGCAACCCCATGTTAAAAATTAGGAGACGGAGACTTACGTCGAGTAACTTTCCCAAGGCCACATAGCTAGGAGGTGAGGAAGCAAGGGTTAGCTTTTTGGCCAAACAAGGCTGTGAAAATGTGGCCTTTTGGAGGCTTATCATTAGTTTAGAGGAAGCCTAAAACCACCCAGTGCTCAGAAATCAGGGACATACTGTAAGCCCATTTAATTGTGGCCCCTGCAGACCTCACAGTAGCAGGCAGTATTGTAATTCAGCGAATTGTATTGTGGAATAGCCTTTTGATTGCCCTGTATTGCCCTTCAGTTCCTTTACATGTTCCTTTATCCCTGCTAGCTTTTAAGTACTTGGCTGTTAACCCACAATCCAACCACAGTCACTGGGCTCTTCTTAGTGACTAGAGCCACCTGCGATTCCAGAGAGGCTGAGAGGTTCCTGGCACATCACAATTTTTGAGAGAACTTCTTCTTTTTTATTTTTTAAGAAAAGGCAAATATTTCCATTTGGCAAACATTTCTGTTGCAGGTCGCCAGCCCTGAATCTCCTTTGTAGATTCTTTTGACGGCAGCAGCTTTACTCCTCCAATTGGACGTTGAATTTGAATAAGACCCTAGTATAAAATCTTAGGAAAGCATTAACTATCCTAAGTATATGACTGGGGCGCATTTATAAAGATGTTAACTAAAAGAAACAAGAGTGTGAATGACAGTGAAATCAGCTTTTCCTGGAATAGCTTTTGGAATGATTGTAATTGACTGACGGTTGGAAAAATGAATTCATTTTGCTTTCTTAATCCTGCTGACTCATGGTCTTCTTTCAGCTTGCTTTCTACTTCATTACAGGAAAGGTGCTAAACATTTCACATAATCCAGGAATTTTAGAGCAGTCAGAAAACATTGTTCCTAAATCTTTGGGTTTCAAAATGAATACACTGGGGCTCAGAGAGGTCACCCAGCTGTCTTATGCAGGGTAGCGATGAGGTGCTTGGACTGTAGGCCAGTCTCCTTAATACACATCATTTTTGTTATTGGAGTAGCCACAGTAAATGAAAAGCAAGTCATCTTTGGAAACGGTACTTGCGGTGAGGCAGTTGTGACAACACATTGCTGTGAGTGCTTCAGAAGGGGGAGCGCGTGCTGAGAACGTGTACACTTGGGCTGTAGGAAATTTCCTTAAGACTCATTTCAAGTAATTCTTTCATGTAGGATAGTTTTCCTTGCCTAATTGATTGAATATAATTAGAATCTGCAGATATTATGTAGTGTATGTACAAAGGACCTATTTAACGGAACCCCTCAGGAAGCTTTTCTGGTATAGAGATACTTTTATTCATTCGTTCATTTATTCACAGATATTTACTGAGTGCATGGCCTGCTGTTCTAAGCACTGGGGTTGCAGTGGTGAGCAAAGCAGAGTTCCTGCCCTCGGGGAGATTCATTCCAGTTTTATCATTTATGGCTACACACTTACACACACAGATTCTCTTTCCACATACAAATGTACAGCTTGATGAATTTGCACAGACTGAATACCCCATGTAACTGTGTCCAAATCCAGGGCCAGAACATTGTGAATGTCAGAGAAAGCCCTCTTGTGGCTTCCACCAGTCATTACTCTCCCCAAAGGGTAACCACCGAGATGCCAGTCTTTTTTTCCCTCTGATGTTCTCACTTTGAAATCAGAAGGTCTTTGTCTTAGTTAGCTCAGGCTGCCATAACAAAATACCATAGACTGGGTAGCTCAAAGAAGAGACATTTATGTTCTTACAGTTCTGGAGTCTGGAAGTCTGAGATCAGGGTATCAGCCTGGGTTCTGGTGCGAGCTCTCTTCCTGGCTGGCTGATGGCCGTCTTCTCCCTGTGTGCTCATATACCCTTTCCTCAGCCTGTATCTTTGGAGAGTTCCCTTCTCTTCCTCTTCTTAGAAGGCCGCTGATGCTGTTGGATTAGGACCCTGCCCTTATGACCTCATTTAACCTTAATTACCTCCTAAAAGCCCTATCTCCAAATGCAGTCACATCGAGGGTTAGGGCTTCAACATATGAATTTGGGGGGAAACAGTTCAGTCCACAGCAGTACAGATTTGCTGCCTCTGCCAGCAGCCTTTGGAGTCTCATCCCCATTTGCCAAGAACGTTTCCCATCTGAGAAGTGTGGTAACCCATAACAAATGTAGCTAGAATACAGAGCTCCTAAAGTATTCTTCTGTAGGAAGTTTTGTCTGTCTGCATCCAAAGACTGCTTTAGGTCAGCCTTCAAATGCTGAGATGGTTGCTGAAAAGGAAGTGATTTGCAAATGATTGGAAATTACTAAATACAGTTAGATGTATTTTCCCTTTTCTGTTTCATGCTTCTCCCGAAGGAACCCAGAATTTTTCTGCCAGGTAAGGACCGAGGAGCAGGTAGGACACTCCTAGCCTCCAGGGATGCTAGGGGCAAGAATCCAGTGGCTTATTTTATTTAACCCTTTGTCCACCCAGGCAAGTGAAAAGCCCCTTTAGTTTGAAAGAGTCTTTATTGGCATCAGAGGCTGAAGTTTCTAAGAATAAGAAAATGTGCCAGAAGGAACTGATGAATGTTTATTTTCCCTCTTAAAATGTGAAGGAGAGGGCTACATGAGGAAGACATGGGAATGGCTCTGCTTCCAGGTTTATAGCAGCTCTGACATCTTTAGTATCAGGTCGTCTCTAAATGGGGAAGCAAATGCAATATATTTGTAGAAAATGTGATTTTTTTTTTTTGGCTGTTACTGTTTTTGCGGTGACAAAATATATATAACATCAACTTTACTGTTGTAATCATGTTTAGCTGTAGAGTTTAGTGGCATCAAGTACTTCACATTGTTATGCAGCCATCACCCCTGTCCATCTGCAGAACTTTTCTCAGCTTCCCAAACTGAAACTCTGCGCCCATTAAAACAGTAACTCCCTGTTCCCCCCGCCCCGTCCCCCAACCCCTGCTGAGTACCTTTCTATTTTCTGTCTCTATGAATTTGACTACCCTGAATACCTCATACGAATGGAATCATGCAGTATCTGTCCTTGGACTGGCTTAAGTCACTTAGCATAAGGTCTTCAAGGCTCATCCACGTGTCAGAATTTTTTTCCTTTTTACAGCTGCAGAATAGTCCATTGTATGGACACACCATGTTTTTATAATTCATTCATCTGTCCAGTTGGGCACCTGCCACTTTTTGCTGCTATGAATGTGGGTGTACAAATAC